TTTTCTTTAAGATCAATCTTTTGTTGATAATACATCGAAATCTTATATATTATTATGTTTTCCATCTTTGGGTGGTAGTCATACTGTCAATTAATTATTTGAAATCAATGAAAATATTGTTAGTATGTTTGATATACAAACGAAACTAAATTGATTGCTGACAGATGATAGTGATTATAATATGAAAGCATTTGAAAATGTAACACTACCAGGTTTTGAAGATGATTGTGATAATGAAGATGATGATATCGATGAAGAACGAAGTGATATTAGTTAAGATTGTTTTAGTGATGATGATGATAATGAAGAATCTGCTATTCCAGTTATAGATAATGATTATTCAAACATGAGAGAATTAATTCAAAACAGTTCCGATAATGTTGCTACAAAGAATGTAACGTTAGGTATACTATGTTTCCCCTAATATTATTCAATTCTCATACAAGCATTATTTTTGCAGAGAAGTTAGCACATATTGGGAAACCAATACCTTAAGCCAATAAAATACGTTGGAATAGTCAATTTAATAGAGTCGAAAATGTTTTACACATATCATCATTAGAATCAAATGAAGTGTTAATTTTAGTTGAATGTAAATATTTTTGTTTACTTACTAAGGATTATCAGATGTTAAATGTATTTTTTGCCATTAATAACTTTATTTGCTGATACAACAACTATAACACTATCTAAAAATACATAATTGATCTCATTTATTGCATCTGCTGTGTCGGCAATTCATCCTGATTTATTAAATGAACAGTCAAATGTTTTATACACGTTATCATTATGAAAATAAATTATTAACTTCATTGATTTTTTGTTTTGATGGTTTATTGGATGAATTAGGTGTTACCATTGATAAATCAATTTCCTAAAAACAAAAATTCATATGAACTTTATAGAGATCAAATGCATGTATTTATTTATTCACCATTTGTTGATGGAAAATTTAAGCTACATTGGATTACTGAATCACTATTATCATTTAAAACAAAAACTAGTATTTGTAATAAAATAAAAAACTTGATATATGATCATTGCGTTATCCTTCAACATAATCATTGTTGAATGGCGATACGTGAAGTAAATGGTATTGGTGATGAACAATCGGCAACAATAGCAACATCAAAACGCAAGTCTTTTCTCAAGCATTGAACGCATAAATATTGAAAAACAAAAGGTTGATAACTTTGCATTTATCAAAAATGAAAACACTACTTATCTTAATGATGAGAATAATGATTCGAATAGATTTATTCTAATCAATCATTCAACTAAATACAAAGCATCAAACTAATTGGCAAGGAAATTTTTGACAGTACCTGCAATGTCATCAGCTTTACAAATAATTTTCTCACAAAGTGGGTTTATATTTCGGCAACCTAAGTCAAGACTGTCAAGTAATACATTATAGATGTTATTAGGTGAAAATATAATCAGGGTCTGATGTAAAATTGTTTTCAACAAGTTGATGTAGTATAACATTATGAAGCTTACAACAATTGAAATCAATGATTTGCGACTTGGCATGCTTCAAAAAATAGTGAATTCGTCCAACTCTGCAATACATAAAAAGGAACCTCATAAGATGTCATGGTGTGGAATTGGAAGGCGAAAATTATTGCGAAAAATCACCTAAACAACGAAAGTTTACTAAGACAACACTGAAAAACTTTCTTATTTGATGCAGTCCAAAGGGACTATCATATTGTTTTATCCCTCATCTTCACTGTCATCAATCGGCACTTTTGACTGACCCTCTTCGCTCTAAGTGATGGCGCCATTTGTGAGTGATCCCCACCAGATAGTACGCGAAGATCTGCTGGATCAAGCATTCAAACTGAAACACTGAAAATACATGAGAAGTTTAGAGGGAACTTATATCTGAATCAAAGTGTGAAGTTTAAGACCATACATTTTGAAAATATTTGAAAATGTCATGTTCATTTTTTTTTGTATCCAACACGAATAAAACATGGTGCAGAACACATAATGTAGTGTCACAGTCTTCAGCGCATAGTTTTTCATAGCTCGGTTTGAATTTAAGACATTTTTTAGACAGATTTATGGAGAATTGAGCGAGGAATTATTTGACAAAAATTCAAACGTGATCTATGAAAATTGATGCAAATATTAGTGAAATATCTAGAGGTGTATCCAATCTGAGCTCTTAGCTACTTCTTTCGTCTACTCGCCCATGTAGCTAATAGTATTAAATAATGAAAATTAGTTTAATCATGTCTGGATGCGTTTACATATCATATGATGCAACTTTCATTGTATAGATATATTTACAAAAACAAAGTTGTACTCATGCATTTCACTATTGCTACCACCAATCTCATTCATTTCCTCTACGGAATCCTAACATGACTTGATGGCTCTCACGGAATACTATGCATTGGTATATTTTTAAAAAATTTCAAGCATCTTTAGTAAAACAGTGGAGGATAAAAGTCCTGGAGTTGAAATTTACACAAAGCATGATACTTTTTCAGAAAAAATTAAAGAGCTGTTCTCCATTGGTTTTCAGCAAAGCTTGTTGAAAACGCTTGTCCTCACTATCTCTAAAGGCATAAAATTCCGCAGTAAATATCTTGAAAGTAGCATAAAATAAAACAATTCGTAGTTTTACCATTAGAAAGAAGGCTCTAGAGGATGTCATTGCATATGATAATTGATTGGTAAATGAACTGTTAGTGTTTGTTCATGCTCACTGGATGGTTTGAGAGCTGTCTTGGAAAAAGTTTTCAACTTATTTTAAAATGCAATGGTGTTCTTAGGGTAGAAAAACCGAACGCTTTCGATGTAGCTAAGAGCAAGCTTACCAGCTTGTTTCGTTCAGAAAAAGTAGAAGCGATTTTTTTTAGTCTCAAACTTTGAGAACTGACCTTCAATCACCATAAAATGGTTAAATGTGGTGATAATAAGCTAGACTGAGTCCGGTAGTCATATGCATTTTCAATTTCAAAGTAATACGAAGGCACAAGATAATTTTTTTCGTGAGCTTAACTTCTGCCATTATGTGACCTACACACTTGTTACTTTGAAATATTTATTTAGCAACTTTCTCTCGCCTTAAAATTGAAAACAAATATGACCACCGGCCTTAGTGTAGTCTATTATCGCCACATTGAACCATTTTATGGTGATTGAAGGTCAATCATCGAATTTCGAGTCATAGAAAAGTGCTTCTAATTTTCCTGAGCGGAACAAGCTAGCAAGCTCGATTCTGGGTAAATAGAAAGCGCTGGATTTTCTTCTATCCTGTAAACACATTTCGAATTAGAAATCGGTCAGAAAAACTTTACAAGGCATAGTTCTCAAATCTTGCAATGAGCATGAACAAACACTATAAGAATTCATTTACCAACAGATTTTCATTTACAACGACATTCTCTAGAGTCCTCTTTCTAATGGTGAAAACCTGACTTGCTTTATCGTGTGCTATTATCGAGATATTCACTCGCAAGTTTTATGCTTTCACACATCGTATGAACAAGAGTTAAATTGATCTTCCTCCATGTAGGCACTACTTTAAGCAATCATTCGTGATATTTTAATTGAATAGAAGAATATTCACTTTTCTATCGCATTCGAATTTTTAACAAGTTTTCTGTATTTCTCTCTCCGGTGTAGAACCTTGTTTCTGATTTGCAACTTTCGATATTGTAGATTTTCCTCAACAACTATTCCTAGTTCTTGAAATCGTTAATAAAAGTCCATCGCATATCCTTAATACAATAAAATAATGTTTTTGTTAACTTCCAACTGTATTTTTTACATTCTTCATTTTTCTTCTGAAGATGAACGAAAAGTTTTCAAAATAAGCTAATACATAGTATTCTGTAACAGCTATCGTGTTATGCTAGAACCAAAAGAAATAAATGAATTTTGTAGGATCAGTAGTAAAGTTTATGAGTGCAGATTTTCTTTGAAGATAGCTGTATTGTGATAAATAATGAGCTCATGGACCATCTTCATAAACTATTTGCTAATCGAGTATTCGACGCACACCATCATGTGGTAACAATACATGAAAATTGAAAAATTAAATGAAACGAAAACCGTAGAAAAGGGTGTATTCAAAAAGAAGTTGAAGAATTTCAATTCATTATTGCCAAATATTCGTATATGTCGAACAAATCTTTTAAACACAATCCATTTAATAAGTAACGAGAAACTCCCGTCGGTTTTCTTTTGAAAATAATGTATAATGGTGTATTGTATCTCAAAGAGTGAGAAGTTCTGAAGCTGTTAAAAGTAAAAGAAGTGAGCCGTTTTCGATGAACTCTGATAATTTTGATGCGTTTGAGTTGCCTATACTACTAGTTGCAGAACCTGAATTGACCCTGATTATGAGATAAGTTTTTATTATAGATAGTACTGTAAACATTTTTAGTAGTAGAATATCTTATGAAACTGGTTTTTCCAGGCTAATTTGAATTCTTTATAATAAACCATTCGAATTTTGGTAGAAAACATTCTCTGCAATCGTTTATAGCTAGGACCAAAAGGCATAAGCACTACCGTTAGTATATCGACAGTATCTATCAAAAAATAATGGCATAAGCAATTGATTATTAGGATGTTGTCAAAGAAACCTGAAATGAGATGTATTAAATTTGTAAATTTTGTTTTGAATCGAGTGTGTGACCAGTGTCTCTAATAAGAATTCTGAGTAAAATTCAAATTCACAGTTTACTTCAGCAGCTTTCATGTTTTTCCAGCAAAAAACAAAGTGTAAATTCGAAATTCAACATGTTTCATACACTTTGCTTCTGCTAGTTACACTTATTATTAGAAACATCGTGCGTAACATGATGCACAAAGTCAAATTATCTTTTCTGTCGACAGGTCTATCTCGAACTGAGATCTTCCATGAAATGCTTTTGTTTTTGGTGGCCGGCTACGAAACCACTGCTACCGCCTTGGCCTGGTTTATTCATTTGCTGAGCAAAAATCCTCGGGTGCAAAGCAAGATAAAAGCAGAACTGATGAGTAATGGTGATGAAAATTATTTTTATCTCGATCGACTCGACTCACTAATCTATTTGGATGCAGTGATCAACGAAGTATTTCGTTTTACCCCACCACTTCCTGCAACATTTCGTACATTGAATGCCGACGATTGTCTGCCAAATAGTGGAGTTCAACTGTTCAAAGGCGATCAAGTACTCATTCCGTTGCACGATTTGGCACGAGACACTCGATATTGGTCAATTGATCCTGCACTATTCTATCCCGAACGTTTTCTAGGCGCGGATAAAAACCATCATCCCTATGCACTGATACCATTCGGTGCTGGCCATCGTCAATGTATGGGTGAGGATTTGGCTCGATTTAAGTTCAAAGTGATTGCAGCGAGACTGATGCAGTATGTCACATTTGGAGATGGTGGACCTCAGGTTAATGCCGGTGGACATCTACCAAGAATTGCTATTATGCCACATCATGTCGGTGTCACTATTGAGTTCGATTAATCAAATCCTTTTCTAAGAAGTAAATCATTTAATCCCTAAATACTAATTCTTGTTATCATTCAGCTACATTTAATTACATTGATTTCACAGCGTAAATAAATTATTTGACAACAAGCTTGATTGACACAAGTGCCCATTTTGGCGCATTACAAAAACGTCCAAATGAAAATATCTGTACATGTTGTTAACGGTCGTTCTGCTATTTTTTTCTCTAAAAAGCAAGAGTTAAAACAAAATTATCTAATTTCAATTGTCACTGTCGAAAAATGAGAATTGATTCATTGACTATAGTATGCGCGTCACACCATGTGCCTTCACACTAGCTCCAGAAAAAGATCTTTTAATAGCTTCTTCCCGTAATCGATTTGGACGTCCTGCACCAATCTGAACACACTTTCATCATACGTCTTCCTATTTTGTTTCAATTTCATTTGAAGTGGTTTCCGAAGAGATATCATGTGCTGGTCAAATGTTTGATTATTCGAGGAAGAATATTGAACGTTTATCTCATCCTCTAGATCATCAAACTGTCAGTCATGTTTTCGTTTGATGGTGTCTATTCACTGTTGTATCATGAAAAACGACATCTGATTTTCGTTCGTGTTTTCGAAGAGAATAAAAAGGAGAGAAAAATGTGCACGAAAAATCCTAAAAAGGCAATATTAGACAGATTAGGCCAATACCATTCACAAGTATAAACACGAAAGATAACTAATCAAAATAGCAATTGAGGATCTAAGTGACCTCTAAACAATAACAGATTTACTCTCATACGTTATAGTAAATAAATTAATGCCTCGCGATGCTCTAGTACTGGTTTGATTATTGTCCTCGGTGGTAATAGTAGTAAGACATCATTGATTGGCAGTCTAAGATCATCTGTTATTCATTGTGCAGAAACTGATGATTATTAGAATCAACAACAAGAACAAGTAACATTGATAAAATTAACCTCAGCATGGAAAGATGCCTGTCTCGATGTGAATATTTCACTTCGACGCCATTTTATTAAATATAATTGAATATCTTATTGAAAGCTCGTTTATGTTAACAAAAGTGGTTGATCAAAGACAGGTATGTATTTGAGAGGATATCAGTAGTTGTCGAGTGTCATATTCATGTACTGTTCTGTAGCTTGTCTTGATGAGAACGCTAATTTGTTTTCTTTTTCTCATGAAGAGAACCCAACAGAGAATCTTTTGAGACTAAGCGCAGATTTCAACAACAAAAACTGGCTGAGAAGACGGCGGAATACAAACAGTCTTCTTTATTGTAAGATACCCATTAGTTCTGTCTGAGTGCCTGGTTTTGTAATCAATTTTGTTGAAATTAGTATCGAACTAGTGAAATAGAGTATTCTCAATTAATGAACAAAATGTCTACAAATATATGTTGCTAAACGTGACTACTACGTTTCAATAATACATATTAAGTGTAGTAAGAAGTTCTCCAAACAGCACATCGTAGTTCGTGACATAATTTACTTACAACTCTCCTGAAATAATTAAGAATATAATTGAAGAACATTACTATTCTTCTGCGTCTGGTACTGTTAACAGAATCAATCAGCAAATTTAATTTCGCAGGCATTCTGCTAGTCAAGAGAAATGAATTCCAAAGTGATAGCTGTATCACAGTGGAAAGAAATATCTTTTGAGTATACAGTAGATTACAAATGACAAATAGGATATTGAAGAAAAACCCATAGTTGTCTGAAGCAATTTTCTCCTTGCGCATAATATGGTGCGATAACAAATAGTTTATTGAACAAAAAATTTTGCTTGTTCAATTCATGATGAGTTTCCTTCTGGAACTAGTCGTCATATTATTCGTTCTCTTTTTTGTCTCTCTTGCTGAGTAGTAATCTTTGTGTTACTTTTATGAAACGAAGTAGTAGCCATTGTTTAAGGACAAGAAGAGAGCAAAATGGATGCTTCAAAAAAGCTATCATCTTCACTTTAGAAAACATACAGACTTGCAAAAGAGGCTCATGTATTATAGTGCAGATCGGTGATAACAGCCAGAATTGTGAATCAATTGGATAAGCCTATTTATTTCGGTGCGATTACCAAGAGTAATGACGGTTAATAAGTGAGGGTATGAGGCTGACAGTAAAATCAGGATCCCTACATCCACACTCACACTCTAATGCGGCTCAGCTCTTTTTTTCCACTAATGAGAAACTCTGGGAAATGGTTCGGACGTTGTTGTCTTCGGTTGCTGAGATCTCTAATAAGGAGAAGAGTAAATATCGCAAAGCTTCGACTTAAAACTCACACTTACTATTATCTCCGAAAATATATGTGAGTTCCACAAAACACTGCGAAATGTAGAAATAAACAAGAGATATCGATTTTCTTGGAAGACAACTATAGTCTGCGAATGGATTTTCACATAACGTATTTTCTATTAGTATAATAAGACTAAAAAATACACATGAGCTCCACATATTACCCCCGACAGTGACCGTGTTGACAAGATTCTTGTGTTGCAACGACCAGTAATTATGTGAAGAAGCGATGATTTTTGCTTTTTACAATTGATTTCTATTGTGTTTCAGAAAATAAGGAGATTCGAATATACTTTCCGAGGTATATCATTAAATTCACAAAAATCAAAATTAGCAGTTGCGCTGTTTGATAAAAACCTCATACCTCAATAGGCTGAATCTTACATGTAAATCAATGGGTGTGGGTGTTTGCGTTAAAAGAACACTAAGCGCACCCACACCCTCATACTCACATCCACATGCCACACTCTCAGAACGAAAAGAATAGCATATTTCACTGTTATCTGATTGTAATCAACAACTAAAAGAAAAAAAAATCATAAATATAAAATTTTAACTCACTTGGAACAGTTTGAATTAAAAGAAAAAAATTAAAAGATAAACAAGTATATAGATATGGTTATAAAGCGTGGAGTTGTTTGTAGGCGATGATTTGGGAGCGGTTGCAGTTCAAGGAAAGGCGCGTGCATCTATATTCACACCCATGCCTTCAGGTAGAGGAATGCGACAGGAATTAACCAGCATTTATTTTACCACAACCAATTATTTCAATTAAAAGAAGTTCGTATTTAAAATTTTCAAAGCGAATTGGAGATGACTTCAACTAAATGTATTCAATCTTAACCACTGTTTCAGAAGGTTCCCATGAGATTCGAGTTGTATCATTTTAGAAATAAGTGTAAGGTTTACGGTATCCAAAAAATTCGAACTTGAAGTCCAACTTCAGGACTCTTTTAGGTTCACTTCTGAATTTTTCAAATCTGGCTTTAGATTTCGATTTTTCGACCTTATTTACTTTTGCTCAAACTGTATAAATTACGATAATATGGACGGATACATGACTGGTCACGTACATTGAGACATGTAAGCCTAGTCACAAACTGTTGTATTTCTCATGAGCCCCCTTCTGTCATCAATGGCCACGCGAGCTGGAGCGGGAGAGGGGTGTGCATCTCCCTCCCAATCTTTGGTACTTCACATGGCCCCTGTCCATCATTTGAGGATATAATCGAATGTGCAACTTCATTTTCGTGATCAATAATCTGAATGTGTGTCTCAAATGTGTAGTATTGGCCAACGGTGACTAGTGTTACTGCTGTGGAATACAAGAAATATTTTGGTCTGTAATCGGATAAATGTCTTCTGCACTTGTGAACCTTCTTTTCTTATCTTACACTCGTATCTTTTTCTAAAGTCAATTTGTTATTTTCCTGTTGTTTAATCCTACGAATTCTTTAATCCATTTGTTACATGTTTCTCCTCTTTTCATGTACTGTTTTATTCTTTATTCTGTTCTTACTCTTATGCACACTCGTAATCAATATTTAGATTGAAGTCACCAACAGGAAACGCATATGAGAAATAAATCATTCACATGTCTTCATGTACAAGGAAATCACTTTACTAGTATTTGGTTTCGAGAAAAAGATCGAATAGGAAAAAGCAAGCGTTTACATTCGCAGATTGATTTCTATCTTCGATGTACGATGAGATTGATTTTCAATGAATTCATTCATGCTTCAAACGAAGTTTTTGTCGTTTAATTATGTTAATGATGAGAGATCACGATAAAAAGTTTCACGTACTGAAAATAGTCGGTTTCATAATGTAAATCTCCTTCGAAAAGAAGAACATTGATTTCCAGATATTTAGCACTATTTTAGCGCTTTTGAAGTATCAAAACTCCTAGACACACAGAGAATGAGAATCTCACTACAAAACAGAAGATACTCAAATATATATATTGAATTCAAAGTCGATTTTTGAGTATAGTTGAGGAATCAAGTTTGCCCAAAAGAACGGTACAGAACGTCAACTCTCTAAAGAATTTTTCATTCTTTAGGTTTTGTCGTTCTAAAATATGCATCAATAGTCGTTATTGAGAATAATCTCCAAATTAAACATTCAAAAGTACATTATTCAAAAATAGACTTCACTACTAGCAGTATTTTACACTAATATTTTCACCGTGAACTTTTGAATTAGTTCATATCAGCGTTTTATTCAGAACTTTGATTAAAATTTTCTCGTTCTCTATTAATGAACAACTACAGCTTCGATGATAGACTCCGGTGCCTGAATTGGATATAACTTTTTTAGTTCAAATCCAGCTTTCTTCAGTAATTCTTCGTATTCATCTTGTGTCCGTTCACGAGCGTGTTCAAATACAACACCCATTATTATATCGATTGAGTGTGATATCCAGTTGCTTACAGCTCCATCAGGTAAAATAACATGTTCAACTATAAATATAGTCGTTGTTGCACCTTTTCGATTTTCATTTGCTTTACGAATTGATGATAAAATTTCTACGCATTGATTATCATCGAAACAATGTAAAATAAGTTTTAGTATATAGGCATCTGCTGATGGAACTATTGATGAATCAAATATATTGCCAGGAACAAAACTCCATCTATCTTTATCTATTTTACGTGACTCAAACTCTTCACCATTTTTATATTTATTAACAATATGTCGCAGATCGAAGACGATTCCATGTTGAATTGTTGAATAGTTTTCAAGAATTTGAGCTAAAAATGTCCCACGACTGCCACCAATATCGACCATGGTTTTGAAGCGACTAAAATCGACACCGGTCACCAATAGAGAGGCATTATTTGTTGAAAGTGCCGTCATGGCACCACTAAATATTGATAAGAACTCTTCTTGATCAGGTTGGCCCATAAGTGTATACATATCCATACCACCCGAGACACGAGCTATTCCAGAGCCTGCACCTTCACCGCGTACAATGTTTGGTAATTCCAAACTAGCGCTGCTAATCTTTGGTCCAAAGGCTAAACGAATAAAATTGCGAACTTGTGATGGATGATCCGATGTCATCATCATACCAGATGGAGTAAGAATGAAATGCTTGTCATCGTTAATTGATTTGACAATACCTCCATAAATACATGCACGTAGAATTCGATAAAGAAAATCACTATTCCATTGTGGCCGATCATCACCAATGATTTCTTGAACGGTAAAGCCACGATCAGATGAAGCCTGAATAAGTCGATCAGCTATATTAAGTTCAGCAAATGTGTAAATAGCCCGATTGATCAATTCATGATATCCCATTGACAAGAATTTTGGCATACCATCAATAGTTAACGAGGATACCGGAGCAAAAGCCATCGATGTACGAAGCAGATAAATATGTCGTTATAGTATACTAAAAGACAGATAAGTAAATAGAGCGAAAAATAAAACTCAAATACAATCTTATTATTTTTTATCCAATGTAATTATGAAAAACATTGCTATTGAACACGAGAGTGTGGAAATAAAACTCACATTAAAATAGATTTCAGACATGCTTATATGCGTTGATTATAATTTTTTCAAAAGGCGGTTCACATGGTCGGAGTATATTCGAAACAGTTTCTTGAATAAGATACATCTAGATACATTAGTTATGAAATGCTTTTGGAGACGAATACATATTTTTGTGCTCTGGATTTTAGTTACGCATATGAATTTCCTGTGAGCTATTTGATCGAGATAAATACAGACAGAGCCTCATAATAACGAATTCGGCTGTGTGCATTTGGTTCAAAAACAAGGTTAAAAGTCTCTTATCAATAATTTAGAAGGTGTATTCAAAGTTTGTTGTGTTCGTGATCTTAATGACGACTATTGATAATGAATAATTTTCAAATATGATGGCTCACTAGTTATTGTGTGGAACATAAAAGAGCAAATGGTGGTATTTTAGAAAACTTCTGAGCGTCAGTGTCAGTCTTTCATTTCCATACATATACAATTAGCGTGTGAAATGTAAACACGTGAATGCATAACTGAGTTTAATATGTATCGAGCACTATTTCACTAGCAATATTAGAAGTCTTCTTTACATAAAATGAGTCCAGTTCTGACTAGAGATGTGCGGGATCAAGTTCTTTTTATCCAGGTCTCGATAAAAGTTTTTCTTTTAGGTCTTGGCCTAGAAAAACCTATTCCAGAATATATTCGTGTCACATCAAAAATAATTCTTTAATACTCTTCTCTTTGATTTATTTTGTCGATAACTAACACTATTGTAAGTTATCTTCTTTGAATTATGTTCTCATTCGTATGACTTATAACATAATTTGCTTCACACCATCGGATATTTTTCTATAAACTTTAGTTCTGGTTTCAGCAATTTTTTGTTCACATGACTCTGACGCTGGTACCCGTTCCAGAATAGGAACTTGTCTTGCATATCTCTGATCTTAGCGCAGAGTATACATTAAATGCAACACTTTAACTTTAGCATGAAATTCAAAGTAATAGTTAAAGTAAAAAGGTTTTATTTAATTTTTTTATGTTCCAATACATACGTTCTTTCAAATTTAGAAAGAGTCAGAATGATCGAGCGAAATCATATTTTAAATATAAAATTAAAGTTGAACTACTACATTTACCATATATCCATGGGTAAACAATTAATTATTTAAATAAACTGATTCTTCTCATATGATGTAATTTGGAAACTATAATAGTGTCTTTTCAAGAAATTTAATTATATGTGAAAATTGTCATACACTAGTTTTAGATGTGATGACAAATAAGAAAGAAGAACATATTTTCAAAGTCACATGGAACGATAGGCAAGGTTCAACGAGCATATTTCGCTCACTAATAAGCTCTCTGTTTTCTACTTTATAAGAATTGTTATCGAATCTCATTTGATATACTATATCATATGTATGTATTACAGTGCCTTCAAAATCTTCTGATGATTTCAGCTCTAAGGAGCCAACGAAGATACAGTATACGAAAAATAAAAAACAAGAAGCATGGCAAAAGATAGAAAAGAGAATAAGAACGTATTTTTCGGGCAAGCAAATGAATGAATATTTTATTGTGAAAAACAAAACAGCATTTATAGTACGTATATGAAGAAAAAGAAAAAGTTCCAACTAACCTCTTCTTTGTTAGAAGACGAACACGAAAAATTTCCTTCAGTTAAGAGAAAAGAAGAAGATGATGCTATAATATAAAGACAAAGTTGAAAAATAGATAGAAATGAAAGAGTGTAGACGAAAAGTAAATGTCAAGTAGCTACAGGTATAAAAACTAAGGAATAATCTTCAATTGTGCCTTATGTAACAACTTCTCATCCTGACCAAGATATTGTGGCAATCTCCGAAAGAAAATTGACAGCAGAGGGTTTTGTCTTTACGTTTCAGTTTTTATTTTATTTCTTTTTAAAAATCGTCCTAATGAGTAAAAATCATAATAAAATAATCCATAATAAAACAAAAAACCAACTATCTGTTCGAATTATATCATATGTAAATATGTTGAACTTAAGTTTTTGAAGTATCTCACAATACTAAACTGCTGTATCTACTTCTGTTTTAAATATTTTGTGACGAAAAACATTTCGTTATTACATGTATACAAAGACCATTATATCTATGACAAAAAAATATCTAAGTTCAAATTGTAGTCGATTTAGTTACATCACCTGAAGCTTCAAGCAAGCATTTACCAGTATGTTTGTAAATAACACTTACGTTCAAAAAGAAGAGAGAATAAATCCACATCATGAGAATCAAATGTGGCACAAGTATGAAAGAATAATAGACATCTTCTGTATTCTCATTTCGTTCGTATAGTACTAATCTTTTTTCTCACTCACAAGGACGAAAATATGAAATAATTCTCAATCATACTATTGATCAGGAAAACGATCTCTGAAATGAACAGATATCATCTGAATTGTGGCCTTAATAGAAATAGTTTGTATATTCTTAGTTACCGTTAAATAATGTCCAGTAACGAGCGGAGTCGAAAAAGAACGAGTACATACTCTAACTATGAATGTAAAACAAAGACTAAAAATAATCTGAAGACAAACATGTTTATCATACTTTTTTATAACAATGATCATTGATGCATACTTTACTTTCATTTTACCTTAGCGAAAAAATCACACAGCTAGATAGGCAAAACGCCGACTTTTTTTCTCGTATTAATACACATAAAAAAGAAACATTAATTTATGTATAGAAACAAAACAGAAACAAGAATAAATTGTTTGGCTCTCTTGCACTAACAAAGCACGTGCAAATACACAAATACAAGATTATGTAAACATACGATTTTCGTCGTATATGTAATATATATCTGTTGATATTTATTCTAACGTATGAATAGAGCATGAATTGAAGCATGCGCAGACAATTTTGAGAGTAATTGTTCCGAATTTGAGTGTTTAAATTTGAAAAACACAATAATTTTCTTTAAATAAAATAATAGGAATAAGACTTAAAATAATAAAGCATTGTTATAGAAATTTTCATTTTTGAAAAGAAATATTAAAACCATAAGAATGAAGAAATCAAGAAAAAAGGATATTATTTGGATAAAAAAGAAAACATTTGAGTCTGAGACTTTTTGAGTTTACCAATATCAGCTAATTTTCAACAAACAATTTAATAGTAAGGTCGATTCGTTTGCAAATAATATAGAATGTTAAATAACATAATGTGAGTTTATAAATGAAAAAGATTCAAAAAGAATTATGAGACATGTTTAGACAGTTGTTGAAACTGTCAATGATCAAATGGCTGTTGGCTGCACCTTTTAGTTATTTTAATCTCTCCCTCTTGGCTGTCTCAAAGAGAGTCACTTTTTGTCAGAATGATCGAAATTGATATAAATCCATGGGAAAATGGCCAGTAATCTGCTCTCTTATGATCGATACAAATTTTTGTTCGGTACGTCCTTTTTTCTAAAAACGTTTCTCGTTTTTGCTCAATTCATGATATGTCAAACGCACAGTCAAAATTTCTCTGCCTACGTTCATGTTTCATATTAATATTTTTTTCTTTTAGAAGGAGCATGTCATGATACACTACACGACAGAGTCCTTTTTTTAATAAGATTTTTTCTTATCTTTTAATTAAGAATACATTTCTATAGAAACAGCCTGAATTTTTAGGAGGTTTTTCAAGTCATTGAATTTGTGGTTCGATCTCTTCGCTTAAAAGTAAGAATTTAAAAAAGGCTCTGTAGTGCCCTGCATAATGACATGCTCTTTCAAACAAACAAAAAATTAAGACTATAGAATGAAGGTCGAACGAGTAATTTGGGTTACCAAATATGGTATTTTTGATCGTTGTTTGTTGAATATCTGCCGAAAAAGACATGATATAAGGCTAAAAATGTTAACGTAGCCTCTCCGTATCAACTCCAACATATTTTGAAAGTTTCATGTAATTTCAATATTTCTGGGTTAAGATAGGTTTTTGAGATGGGAGGAGGGTGAGGGTTTAAAGATACGAAAGCAGCAGTTTGTGGGTGTGGCCATACAACATACTCGCTTTATATATACAAAATCACATCCACACCCAAAGTTCAGGAAAATTTTCGAATCTACTAGAACAGTCTGACTGTGGCGGTTTGTCTTGGCCAGTGAATGTGACTTGTATGGTTGTAGGTGTGATTGAAAATCAAAAACAAAGACATACAGTCACACTGTCTTCTTTGAAGAGCGACGCCAACCATATCATCCTCGTTATTATGAATACAATGTGAAAACTTGCTTAGTATGTAGCACATCTTCCATGTGATATTAGTGCATGTCGTTATTTCATTATCAATGACAACCGATTCACATTTTTTGCGACGATGAACAAACAGATGCATCATATCGAATTTTGCATTTAACAATTTATATGAATCACAGAGCAGTATAAATATAAAGTATGAAGATTTTGTTGCTATTTGTCAATTATCTTTTCTACACAGCATTGTCTGTTTTGCGTTCTGAGGATTGGTGAGGAGAGTCAAAAGTATCTATTCGCAGAGTAACTATTCGAACACAAGAGAATGTCTCGTGAGGGTACAATTATAGATGCTGTACTATCTATATTAGTAATTGGGTTCATCTTGATCTCGATTGAAAAATCTGAGTACATCGATGAAACACAAAGAAAAAACTTATCTTACGGGTCCAAGTAGAATGCTGACCACATCCGTAGAAGAAAGAAAATGTCAACATATCAGGTCGCACGGTAGAATGTGTAAGCTCTACTCCATACGATTGTCTTAATTCATTCGATGATCAACTATTTTCGCACACATAAAGATCAATGTTTTTGTGCAGTAGAGAACATGCTTTTGTAAAAACGATAGACGCA